CCTAATGCAATGCTTGAGTGGAATTGAGACAGAAACTATCCAATATCGAACATCCTCCAGATTTTGATTTATTTATTTTGAGACGCAATATTGAGGAAATTGACTGTAAAATATACTTAATTACGCCTGGCAAAGAAAGTGAAGACCTAGGGAATTGCCATTTATTAGCGATATAAATTCATGCAGCAGATAACTCACGAAAAACGAAAAAATAATGAATACGGAAGTCTATTTGTTCCTGCATGCCAGAAAAATTATTTCGGTCTTTGTTTCCGATAGGTAGGAGGACGTGCGCGGTCTTTCGTCAGGGAACTTTGCATGCGTACCTATACGGTATATACGGGAGTCTCGCACATGTAAGAGGATATGGCAATCAATTCAAACTAACCATCCAGTGAGGTAACTTGCCTGTGCCCATGCAAGCCCATAGAACATCCCTAGGAGCCCCAGCTCGTATCCTCCACTCGAATCCCCTCGGTGTTGAGCCGTCGGTATAAATCAACGTTATTAGGGGCATCGTATTCGCAGTGAAGCCCTCAGACTGGTCATTTTCTATCAAATTATCGTGAAATATACTGTACGTATATGGTGACCTTTTGCTGTCCCTTGATAAACCTTTAAGTTTCCCAAGAAAAACGTTAGAGATTGAATATTGTTCGAAGTGAAGAACAACAAACTTTTTTTATTTGGTACTATATCATATACAGGGAATCTGACAAATTGCACGTAGCTGCAGAGTTCGTGCTAATAATTGTCCGTTTATCTGTATCTATTTTTGGTTTTTTATTGTTTTGTTGGCATTGATTCATTTACGTGGCTGTGCTTGAGTTTATTTCGAGTGACCTAAGTTTGAACGAAGTAACGTATACGGTACTTGAAATATAAATTTTTTAAAACTGACGTTACCTTTTGCTATTTCAGTTATGGAGATCAGATGATATGACTTCAATTTATCATTTCATTAGCGCGGTTAATCCGTAAAGCTTCAAGAGATTCGAGTAACCCGGAGTGATCAAATCAATATTTACGTGAAACGTAATAGGTGCTTGAAAAAAAAAAAGAAATCTGGCGGGGTAGTTGTACAAGTTTAGAGTATATATTTTAGAAACTCATTTTGAAATGTACAAATTGTTAAATAATTGGATCACTTAACGTAAGACTAATTTTGAAATCAGCGAAAATGTAGCTCACAAGTCATATGAGCATAACAATGTAACTTATCAATTCAAAGTCTAAGTCACATTCAATGTATATAACAGCTCTTGCTTGATATCTATGGAAATTTGACTAATTCCTAAGTTACATTTGTAATTCATGATACAAATAGCCTCTAAATGTTCAGGCTGACTTCTCAACAGCGTACTCTACTTAAGTCAAGTGCAATGACAAGAATTGACTCACGAGAGTTTAGTTAGTTTATTTGAATAAACAGTAATAAGGTAGAATGTGGATCTTGAGAACTTGTCTGTATTAAAACGCAATTTACTTCATATTACGCCATTAGGGATTTATTCATTTATTTACAACGTAATACTTTTATGAAATTTAATGAAATAA